GAATGATTAAGCTATCTGCTTGATGGTGCTATCGAGGAGGGTCGGTTGAGGGTTTAGGGTTTTGGGGTTTGGGGATTTAGGGTTTAGGGCAGCATTGCCCTAAATCCCAACCTCCCCCCCATAAGCCCTGGACCCTAATTTGAAGATGAAGCTATCATAGTTAAACAACCCTAAACCCTAAACCCTAAACAAACATTTTCAAAAAACCAAACGAATCTGCGCCCGCAATGTCGTAGCCACGTCAGGGCCACGAGCGATGAGAGCAATCCAGTGGCGAACCCAGTGGAGATCCGGTTTCGGCCGCACAAGGCGCGACCTTTGATGCGTTGGATCTTTGTTTAGGGGGTTTAGGGGTTTCAGGGGTTTTAGGGTTTAGGGGTTTTTAGGGTGTAAGGTTTAGGGCTGTTGGGGTTTAAGGATTTAGGGTTTAGGAGTTTTTAGTGTTTAGGGGTTAGGGGTTTTAGGGTTTAGGGTTGTAGAACGGCAATTTGCCAATAATCCGAACCTTGCCTGGACAGAAGCTCAGGCATCTGCATGGTGGATTACTGCTGCATAGACCATCTGAAGCCCCCTGCCAACCCCGTCGCAGCTGTAACTTTTGAGCTCCCTAAAAACCCTAATTCCTAAATCCTAACTTACACTGCGGGTTATGGGGCTTATGCAGAAGAAACGCGAATATTCGAAGCTGAAACACCGGGCACTCCTGTTGAGGTCCGGGTTTTCTGGGATTGGCTTGTTTTTGTATGTTCGGGCTGCGTTTACTGGGCTCTTGTTCGAGAGTTTTGTGTTAGTTACCATTATGAGGAAACCTTGCTGAGGAACTTAATTTAAGAGCTTGGGCCTCAAAGCCTAAACACTAAAACCCTTCACCCAAATTCTTTGGTTTGGGGTGTAGGGTTTCAGGCGTGCTTTCGAATCAATCTATAGATAATGAATAGCATCTAGAAAGCCGGCCCACAAAGCCCCCACTCAGCTACACACCCTACCTTCACCGAGCGAAGGCTACTTGTTTGAAGAGCACCGAGACATTCTGTATTAGGCTTTGTAACCCTAAACCTAAACCCTAAACCCTAAACCGTAGTAGGTTAAGGTAGACCCGACACTGCACGATGTGCCATGCACCTGGCAGGAGGTCGGCGCTGATTCCTCTGGCTTAGGCTCGTTGGCCATCTTGCTCGGTTAGTTGAAGGTAAGAAGACCACTAAACCCTAAAACCTTAAGATCCTAAACTCTAAACCCTAAAACCTTAAGATCCTAAACCCTAAACCCTAAAACCTTAAGATCCTAAACCCTAAACCTTAAAATCTTAAGATCCTAAACCCTAAAGACGGAAACCTTAAGACCCTAAGCCCCAAAAAACCAAACCTTAAGGCCGGGTCTTCAGGCTTTGGATTTCGAGGGTTTAGATACTCAAATCCCCTTGAAGTCATCGCCGGGGGCTCGTTTCGGGGGTGTTCTTGCAATACTGTTACTGGAGGAGATCAACCCTTCGGGCTGTTTTTTTTTTTTGGGTGGGGGGTTGAGACTTTGGAGGCAAAAATGGATTTAGGGTCTAGGGTTTAGGGGTTTAGGGGTTTAGGGTTTAGGATTTAGGTTGTAAGGTTTGAAATGTGTTTTTGGGTTGGGGTTTTGGGCCATTTTAGCGCTGTACTTTGAGAACTAAGTGGCCCGTAAGACGTAGAGTGCCGGACATTTTTTGCTACAGTAGTAGGAACCTCATATGGGCCATGTACCCCAAATGCTTTCAGGGTCTATCCTGTCCTCGAGGTAGCAGCCATACCGTCTTCAGCATCCTTGTCTGTGTAAAGGGATGCTGTTTTCAAGATTGGTTGTATGTCTGCGCATTTCCTCACATTATAGGAGTTGAAAAAACGAAGGGCTCCTCTTTTGAAACGGCAGACTAACTTGGAACCGCCCCACGCATGTTCTCCATGATCTTAGTCACTCACATCAGCTG